TTAACAAGCATTAAATAAATCACTTCGTTGGGACAAATCACTTCATTGTGATTACTCTTAAATATGCGTATTGCTATAAGAGAGGTACAAATTGACGACACAATATGTTCGAACTAAGAATTGTCAATCACGATTGCTCGATTTGAATAACGAACAAATTATCCCTTAACAAATTTGACATTTAGTTTGAACTTGTCAGGCGAAAATAAAGATGTCTGTTTGAATTCACATAACGGGATGTAACAATGCAACTGTGTGGTACAGAATTGAAAATTGTTATTGGCACTGTGTGCGATACTTGAATACAGAAATGTCATGTAAGCTTTATTAAGATTTGCTACTAATTTTTATTTTATTTTATTTAATTGAAACCCCAATTATGATTAGCAAAAGTGGATGCAAATATTATAACAAGGTGCTATATTAAATACATTTTACATTTTAATGTTATTTTGATTCTTGTAAAAATTGAAAAATATAACGTTACTAAACTTTATATTGAGTTACATGCGTTAACCTTTTGTTAATACAAGCTTATTTTGTTTCTTTGACAGGCAATTGCTGATTGAAATCATTATCTTGCACAGTATATCATTTAAAAGAAATAAGCTTGTTGACAATACATGATAGATTAAATCTTTATTTTATTAGCTTGTTTATTAATCCTACAGAAATGAACTTTAGGATTTTATAATCTTGTGTTTATTATAACAAAAAAATGGCTGATAATAGTTTATCTAACTTTGCTTAAAATTTAAGATTTGCACAAATATGAAAATTTCTCTGGGAAGAGTAAAATTGATGCTGTAAATGTATACATTTCCGGTATCATTTTATTGGAAAGTGTACTCTTAAAGCGTTCACAATCGGACATATTCTGGACATTTTAAAAATTAGAATGCACATCCATCCCTAATATCATGTTTGCCCATTGGCAAATATATAAAAGTAGTTTCATTCAAATTTTATTTTTTAGGCGTTTAGACCTCAGTGGAGTTCAATATTTGAATTTTACGTTTCAAGAAAAAATTAATGTTGATAACAGTCCAAAGTGTTTCACGGAATTTAACATCTAAACACGAACATGGTGAATTTGGGAAACATTATTAGTCTTACGTGCTGGTCATTTCAGTCTAACTAGTATCTACAAGCTAGACTGACCAACATTTTATTTTCGTTTTGATATCCCAAAACTTGATATTAGACAAAACTACACAAGACAAGTCCGTTTAAGAGACTCAGAATGTTAAGGGTTAAACAATTGTTTAATTTATTTTTGCTCACAAAAAATTAGCCATTTAGAAACAATACTGCAGTTAAGTTTAACATTAAAAAGTAAAAACCAGTCACTTAACCCAAATATGATACTTGACGAATTCTTTCAAATATTATCTAGTGTAATTAATAAGTTTTGTTAGATAATTGAACGTCTGACCGAGATAAGGTAACAGTCTTACTTCAAGTAGGCATTGATTAAGCACATGCCAAACAATGTCGCCAATTTCCTTGATGAAACAAGGTGCCTTTCATGTTTTTCTTTTTCTTACTAAAAAGTAGTATTGGAAAACTAATCTAAGCTTTTCACAGTTTTGTTTCCTTAATTTTTTGTTTCCTTATTTTTTTGTCTGAATTTTTGTTGTATTACAAAAACATGCAAGTAAATGATAGACGTGTCAAAATTGATAACTAGTTCTAAAATTCGGCATGGAATAATGTTTGATTGAAATTTTTCATAGCAACATAATCCCAGTATGGTTTCTTCAGTTTCAGCAATCATACATGTACCTTATGCCCTTGTAAAATGATAGAGATCAATTGAATATAAAGTAAAAAAAAAAATACAAATTTTATTTACAGGCGAGAAAAAAACCCACAAGAAAACAACATCATTGTTTTTTTATTAAAAGATTCTATATAGCAATTCTTATTTGTTAGGTTTTCATAACATACCCTCAATTTCTCAAACTTTATTTTTTATTCGTATGAACATATTTATTCGTAGGCATCTTTCGAGAGAAGCTCAATACTTCTCAATAACATATTTCCTAACGGAATTCTTGTTGTTTTTTTACAATATTGACAAATATATGTATTACTTGTAAATTGTTTCTCTGTATCGTCCAAAATTGCCAAACCTTTTAATATCAATTCAGTATTGTTTCTTTTTTATCCATATTATTTTTTACTTAAGAGAGGAAACCACGGCATAATTGGTAACTTGGCTTCCGATAGATATTAATCTACGTTATATGAATTAAAAGAAATTCATAACTGATTTATAATTGTTTCGTACATTTTTTGTCATTTACTATTGATGAAATATAATATATAATATCAAAGCTTCCTTAAAAATGAATTTTAATAAAAACTAACAACCAGAGCTCATTTAAATTGATTTAATAATTAAGACAGCAAAGGTAGCTTTCCTTATAGATAAATCATACCTTATACAATTCTATGAATGCTATAATTGTGTTCTTAATGTATCCGTAACAAACATATCCCTTTTTGAAAAGAAATAATAATTTGGAAAAAAGCAAAACCCCTTTCTTTAGACTTTCAAATATAAACTATAAATTGTGAAATAAAAAGAGCTGACAAAATTATTTTCATTAGCAGTTCCGTCCGAAAGAAATTCATCCACTCTGATATACTTGAATAGAAAAAGATTAAATAAAATATTTGATGGATATTGAAAAATCTGTACAAAATGTCAAGACTTGAGCTAAAAATGTCAACAAAATTAATTATTTTCTTATTTATTTTTTCTTCTGTTCCTGTCATTTGTAAAATCGCTAAAGTTTCACATAACATATTAGCATTTTTCAATAGATGTTTGGTCGAATTCTAATGGAACTTTTGTCATCTTTATAACATCACTAATCGTATGCTTAGCATACCTACATAAATATAATTTCATGTAATTTTGTTGTGATTAATGCTTCAGAGGGATCCCGTGTTTTCCAGATATTTATGCACCACAACAGCAGATGTCAAGTGACGTGTGCAGCTATAAAAAGTTTTCCCGTACTTGATTTCGGTTTTGTTATATTTTTTTTTGGTCATTCGGGATCATTGATTCCAGCATATTTTAATGTTGAAAATTGAGAACCGCTCAAGCCGGTGCTAGGGAACATGCGAGATGATGCACCTTTTCATTATCCCTCATGTACAGATCAACTAAACCAAGACTACACTTTTCATGTATTTTTTGTGACTCATGCTTCCGTATTTTTAGATATTTATAAGTCAAAATAAAGACAAGAAACACTTTACAATGACATGTAAGATTAAATTTCGATGACTGATATATTTCAAAATGAAGCAACCGTAGAGCCCAAAACTGATGTACATTACTGTCTTTGTTATTTTATACTTTCACTAGTTTTGATGATGCAAAGTGCAAAAGTTTAACATCTGGATTACAACGAAATCTTATTTTCTCATTCTTTTTCTAGATTTGATATTAACATTATTAACAAAATAAAAAGAAAAAGATATAAACAAACATATATTTTCGTTCACAGAAACAATCAGTTGTTCATTCTTATTTAATCGATTGTATCTACCATGTTTTACAGTGCATATGAACCAAGACAAACGGTGTCTTTTTGTGTTGTTTTTTTTCGGGGGGGGGGGTCTAATATAAAGCATGTCTTTCACAACAAAACAGTTCTATACTAAAGTTATTTAAACGCAATAAGCGATATTTTACATAAACACACTCAATATAATCGAATCTGTTGTTGTATTTGTGATTTATTGCCATTGCTTTGGACCATATTATGTTTAAATGTTTTGTGAAATACACAATTTATGACTCACTCACTCACTCACTCACTCACTCAATCAATCAATTAATAATTAATCAATCAACTAACCAATCAAACAATCAATCAATTAATTAATTAATTAATCAGTCAATCAATCAAAACCTTATAATTTTTGTTCATGTGCATATATCGTTTCTTTTGAGAAACGTGTTGATATCAAACTGACAGATAAAATATTATATCAATTCGTCCACCCTTTAAATGTTTATTCATTCAAGAATATATCATATACATGTGTATATTTAAAATTTCATATACCTATTCAGAAAAATCATGCATTTAATCATAAACTCATCTTGTCAATGCCGATAAACACGCAATAAAATGAAAGATATTTAAAAGTTATGTCAATATTTTTCTTTGTTAAGCTGACATTTAAAATGCTGTAAAAATGAAATGAGCAGTTCAAAGCAAATTTTACACGAAACACTGTCTGTTTCCTTAAAACTTGCCAACCTTTTGTGTGTATCTTGGCATCTTTTCGTTGTTAAAACAAGCAATATGTAAACCAGATAAATTTCAGAAAATAAAATATTGGCAACTTGTAACTAGAACAATTTCTTTTGCAAGTTTAATTTTTTGCGTTTGAACGGGGTATTTATTTAAACTCAATAATATATCTAGAGTTATATACATAGAATGCGGATACGTATCAAGGAAGTTTTTGTAACACACAATTTAGCTTAAGTGTATGTATTAATTATTATTATAATCTTTAGAAAAGATTGTAAGATATACGTAGCATATAATTAATAAAGAGAAATTTTTTACATCTATGACAGGTAGCTATTTCCAGGGAATTATATTTTATTTTTAAGTTTATATAACATGATGTTAATAGTTTTGTCCTTTCGTTGAATATTTCAGGTTTTGTATGTGTTTTCTTTCTTACTTTCATCAAACGTTTTGCATGTGTCGTATAGAATTTTGCTCTGTTAGTATCTTGTTGTTGTTTGTCCTGAAATGCACCGTTGTTTCGTATCCCGTTTTTCTGCTATCCGCGTTTGTCTCTAGTGTTTTCTTGTGGCTTACTGTTTTGTAAACAGTGAACTGTTTTGTGTTTTCAGTTCCGCGTGGTCTGTGATACTGTTGTCTTCACTTTTCTGTATCGTTAATGTCCTTTGTCTTATTTTCCTGTCTGTTTCGTCAGGTTTCTTGAACTTCTAGTCAGAATTGTTTACTCTCTATTGTATGTTTTACTCGTCTCCGTCCATCTGTTCTTAGTCCTAGTCTCCGTCCATCTGTTCCCAGTCCTAGTCTTCGTCAGTCTGTTCTCAGTCCTAGTCTTCGTCAGTCTGTTCTCAGTCCTAGTCTCCGTCCGTCTGTTCTCAGTTCTAGTCTACGTCCGTATGTTCACAGTCCTAGTCTCCGTCCGTATGTTCACAGTCCTAGTCTTCGTCAGTCTGTTCTCAGTCCTAGTCTTCGTCAGTCTGTTCTCAGTCCTAGTCTCCGTCAGTCTGTTCTCAGTTCTAGTCTCCGTCCGTCTGTTCTCAGTCCTAGTCTTCGTCAGTCTGTTCTCAGTCCTAGTCTCCGTCCATCTGTTCTCAGTTCTAGTCTCCGTCCATCTGTTCTCAGTCCTAGTCTCCGTCCGTCTGTTCTCAGTCCTAGTCTTCGTCAGTCTGTTCTCAGTTCTAGTCTCCGTCCGTCTGTTCTCAGTCCTAGTCTCCGTCCGTATGTTCACAGTCCTAGTCTTCGTCAGTCTGTTCTCAGTCCTAGTCTCCGTCAGTCTGTTCTCAGTCCTAGTCTCCGTCCGTCTGTTCTCAGTCCTAGTCTTCGTCAGTCTGTTCTCAGTCCTAGTCTCCGTCCATCTGTTCTTAGTCCTAGTCTCCGTCCATCTGTTCCCAGTCCTAGTCTCTGTCAGTCCTAGTCTTCGTCAGTCTGTTCTCAGTCCTAGTCTCCGTCAGTCTATTCTCAGTCGTAGTGTCCGTCCGTCTATTCTCAGTTCTAGTCTACGTCCGTCTGTTCTCAGTTCTAGTCTCCGTACGTCTGTTTCCAGTCCTAGTCTGCGTCCGTATGTTCCCAGTCCTAGTTTCCGTCCGTCTGTTCTCAGTCCAAGTCTCCGTCCGTCTGTTCTCAGTCCTAGTCTCCGTCCATCTGTTATCAGTCTTCTAGTCTTCGTCTTTCTGTTATCAGTCCTCATCTTCGTTCTTCTATTATCGGTCCTCGTCTTCGTTCCATCTTCTGGTTTTGTCTGTCTTGTAGTTTTTCAGTGGAGTAGCGGGGGATCGAACTCACGACCCCTTGATTGGTAAGCAGAGAGTGTTACCACTGCACCATAGCGCCCGCTCTGAATAATAAGTGTTTTTGAAAGTCCTTTATACATTATATTACTTTAATCGCTTGCATAAAAGGTATTGCAATTAAATTTTAACACCTCTACTGGTAGCCAACCCACGTGACTTTTCATATATCGTCAAGAAGAATATTTCTCGATTTAAGAAATTTTGTCATAATAACTTTGCTGTTACTTGAATATACTCTTGAAATTTATTGGAGGGTACCCGGAATTCTTAGGTATATCAGATGGTGTGATAATCTTCTTGTGGAGTTTTTCTAAGACCGAGACTGAATTCCGAAATTTTCAAGAGCTGTTATGGTATCGCAAGCACCCATACCAAACTCCTGATTTCAGACTTTTTAGCAAATAAACGGGCTATTTTTTGTAATGAAACATTTTAAGTTCCATTAGAAACTTGTCATTGAATTCAATTTGAGGATGCAAATGAAGACTATAATGAGCTCGTGTATGCGCTACGTCACAGTTTTATAGTTGCTATCCGGAACACAGCAAATGTGATATTTTCTTGTGCAAACACACTTTAACCGTTTAAGTTTCACGGTGCACTAAACCTGGGGTTCAGTAAAAAGTAATCATCTCGTAAAAAGAATTAAATTTGTATGAAAACATCCGTTACAATGCGGAAATATACCGTTAAATTAGGACTGCTCACTTAAAGTCATGTTTGTTGATTTAATATTGATGTACGGATGATCCGAAGGCGGAGTTTCTCATGCAAACAGAAATTGTACTTCCATTTCGCCACAATGAGGTTACCTATTTTTATACTAATAAAACTCATTTTGGTTGTCTGGACACCAAAATAAGACCTAGAGTCGATATAAAACCCAATTTATTAATGAAATGTCGCTATTTAGTTTTTTATGAAATTTATTAAATGTAACTTTAACACTGCAATATAGATCAAAGCGATGAAAGCACTGAATGCTTCGGCTTAACATGACTATTAATACCTGAATTTAACAAATAAAAGCATGCCATATTTAATAAGTGTCTTGTACATCTCTGTAGTTATGTTTTTCAAAGGCCCCCTTCAGGTGCTATATTTAATGCTGTAATTTAAGAACAGAATTAACCTTTTCATACACAAAATTGCATTTTAACCGCCAATTCTGTTTAACATAAATATTTACACAGTACAACTTTATAAACTAAAACTTTCCATTTCCCGTTATTTAAATACTTTGCCCGTTGGCGCATGCCACTTAACTTTGAGTAAAATTTATCTTATTACAAACCATCTTAAAAATATTGAAGATTTCGTCTTTGACCTAAAAATCTTAACTGCTTTACTGTTCCTGGCAGAACAATTGAAATTTTTGAAGGTGGTTAGGTCTATTAAAAGGCAAGCAGCTTAAAGGGAGAGACAGGCAAAATTTGTTCGTTCCTTTATGTTGATTTTTGATTCATTATTCTCTGTAAATGTCCACAAAATAATACGCAATCACCAAAAACAATACATTTCTCCCTATAAAGAATAAAATGGTGGTTTCCTAACTTGAGCCAACGTGGGTCAGGTTAGAGGCGTCATATTTTAAAATAGTTTGAACACATGTGGAACTATGAAACGTTAAAGAAGCATGTCAAATGAATAACTTTGACTTGTCTCAATCAAACAAATATCCACAGTATCTGTTATTGTACTTCCAAAGCTTTGTTCAAGTCACAATGACTTATTTTTAAAACTATTCGTGTTTGGTCTAAATTCGTTCAACTATATATATATAGATATATATTTATGCTTCAAGCCAATATATAGAATTTAATACAGAAAATTTATGTGGGACTTTAACACAAAATTCATTTTTAAAGCGTGAAATTTGAGTATAATAGGATCATTTTAAATATTCTGGGTCAATAATTTTTTTGAGTATCACTTTAAAAAGTGGATGAGTACTATGGAAGGGAATATTCCGCAAAAAATTATACGTATTTTGGCTCTGGTAAAATGGTGCGGGTGCGCACCCCTGTCGCGCTGTTTTCATATTGAAAGGTGCAACCCCATGTGTGTTGATTGCATTCTTATTTATACATGTTTGGATTGTCCATCTTCTATGTATATTGATATATACAAGAATGCTAAATTTCAAATGTATGTACGCCACTGAAGATTGGTAATGCAGAAATTGTATCATTGCTTTTGATTTAAGTATTGTACAAAATGACAAATTATTGTGTATAGAAGTAAATACTCAATACATGTTTTATAATAGCGTCAAATTATAAGTCGGTGATGTCTTTATGGCATATATAATGCAAAAATTGCTTGTATATTTCGTTAATATGACATATTCTGTGTGAATCAGTAAAATCCATTGCTTACGGATGTTGTTATTTCAAATTTTCGAAAGTGTTCCCTGTCCTTTTCGGACAATAATAACAGGTGCATACATTACATGTGTATACTATAAAGTGGCTGATGTTTTTTTTATTTATTTCGTTTTATGTAAATTAAATTAAACATTTCATGTTTATTTGCTTGATCCATGTGTTTCATTTGAAAACCTTAACTCTAGGCTTATTCATGAAAAACAACGGATCCCAAAAGATTACGCTTCTAAAAAGAGAGTAATATTGGGGAATTCTGGGGCGCCCGGGATCTGGGAACATATAAGATATATAGGGAAAGTAATAATCTATATCTGTGTTGATGGTGTGCTTGTCGTAATTAAAGGCTAGAAAATAAGAAATAGTAATAAAGATTTTTAATGCAGAAATTGTATCATTGCTTTTGATTTAAGTCTTGTGCAAAACGACAAATTATTGTGTATAGAAAAAAATCAATACATGCTTTATAATAACGTCATATTATTAACATTTCATGTTAACTTGCCGAGTCATGTGTTTAACTGATAAAAAAAACTTTTGACACCTATGATAGGTGGCCAGTTGCCAAAACTCTATGTTTGATATGGTTACTGCTTTTTAGAAAGCGATATGATAGTAGTCATTTCCCGTGATCTCTATATATCTTATTCGATCCCGACTACCCCCCCTTCCTTTATGGGTATACACCATCTTCATGATAAATTTTATCAAAGATTTTCTATTTCAATATGAAATCCCCAGTTATAGGTTATTTTACTTCAATACCCTAAATTACAAACATACATCAATGAAATTCGTAGAAAGGTGATAATTGAAGAGTCTCATGTACGAGCCAAGCATAAACAACCGTTATCATCTAATTAATGTGAAAAATATGACGTCGATTTTGAAAGTAAAATGACGGTTAAGGATTAAAACGATAAAGGAATTGTATTAACAACATCAATTTTTTCACTTTTTTCGTAATGTTAATTTCCTATAGGCTTCTGTTAATGCAAGTGTACCACGTGACTAAAATTTTGTACAGTAACATAGGTAACAGTACTTTTTAACAGTATAAAATCTGGTCACGTGGTCTATGAAAAAAAAATGGCCGCCATTTTTTAATCGATTCACTTTCACCATGACAGAACATCACCATCTTCTCTGGAGTAACTATGACACCCATGAAATTTAGTTGTTTGCACCCATGAGTGCTTTTCACGTATAAAATATCTTTTTGTTGAAAAGTCAAAAAGTAAACATCCGTTTTCAACGGAAGTAATTGCAATGTTAATAATTATGTGTCAAACTGGAACATGCAGACGATTTAAGCATGCAACAAAGGATTATTTAACAATTTTAATCAGTGAAACGTTACAGACATAGTGGACAGACATAGGATGTCATCGTTATTTTGTCAAAAACCATGCGAAACAGAAGGATCAGATTTTACAGATCATAACCGTATAAATGGGTTAGAGTTTTTTTCTAAATATAACACAGCTTATTGTATGTTTATGTCACTTGCTTAAAGAATGAAAGAAAAAGAAAACTTCTCAAGTAGGCCTAAAGTACACAACTTTAAATTTAAAGGTAAGGACAGTTTAGTTATTGTTACTCTTGGTTTATTTTTGATACAGTTAGATGTTGACAATTGCACAGTTTTTTTATTTATATACTGTTGATTCCAGGAGAATGTGCACATTTGCCAAAATACTTAAATATGATTGGGCGATCTTAAATAAACTATCGTCTGTAATTTCTTTTTTGAAATAACACTCTCAAAATTGGTCCTGGTTTTGCAAGGTAAATAAGAAAATCAAATTAGGTTGAAAATTGTTCTTAGTAAGTATGTAAAAAACTGATAAATTGCCTAGTCAAACAAACATACCATATATACGAGTGTACATGTATATCATTAACTTATTGTATTTCAACATTCTATTATATGTGTTTGATTTTATGTAGATATTTAAAGACGATTGGTCATGTCACGACCAGCGGTCCGCCTAACCAACTTTCCTTGTGGCTGAGGGTTGAGGAATCAGAATTGCAGTGCATGATTGAGAGAGGCGTCTAAATGGGTCCGGATAACTGGAGTATATTCATCTTTTAGCTCTAGTAGGTGAGGTGGTTTCGAATCCTGGTGTTGCTTTAAGTTTGTAACACTAGAGGTTATCCGAAATCATCTTTCCTATTTCGGCGCCATACGATAAAAATTGTGTTGTTGCGTCGTAAAACCAAACAAAACCACCAAA